CCCCGCAGAAGGACTGGTTTGCCAAGAGGAAGAAGTTCAAGCGACCCCCGCAGCAGCTTTTCGACACCGAGAAGATTCGGTAGGCGACTGCGACATGAGACGTGGCCCAAAAAGGTCCCCTCCGGCAGAGCTATCACTGAGGCTCAGAAGGCTGCTAATGTTCCTGGCATTGATACCCATAATACAAGCTGTCCCAATGATGTTGCCGAAAACTAATGTTTGGATCACTTGGGCGAATAAGACAGGACAAACAGACTTCTGTCTGTGCTTAGCTTCTCCTGCTGACCCCTTTACGACCTGTCTCTTCGAGGTACCCATTGGCAATCCAAAGGTAATCTGTCGAACATTCAATGTCTCTCCTTGTAAGTTTAACAGCACCACTCAAGCTGCTGCTGCAATTGTTAATAATCTGACCGCTTCCTTGCCATGGGACACTCAGGAGCTGGACCTGCTGGGCTCTGCAGCGATTGGAAATAGCTCAGAAAATTGGACTCAAACATGTTTTATGTTGGGTAATTTTAAACAGGGCATTCATTATCATAAGCAGTATAATTTGTTGGGCTGGATCAATGTAACTTCTCATACCAAGGGATTTGATTACCAGAATAAGGGAGATTATTGTGGAACTAATAGTACTTTGGGTAGTGATTTAGGAGCACTAGGAGCAGAAATGAGTGGAGGATTGTCAATATGGAATTATGGAACTCCTAAAGCTTTTCCTGATGGAGTGTTTTCTAATTTGTGGGGATCGGGCATGGGGAGGTATACCCCGACGAGTGTTTGGTGGTCCTTGTTATATAGGCCACCTGACTCTCATGGCTCCAACATTACATCAATGGGCAAAGCACACAAATTTGTGTAATAAACACAGTCTTTCAGCCCTTACTGGAAACTGTGATGACTCAGTTGAACTATGGGGAGTGACTGCCAGTGTTTTTGCCTCTATGATCCCTTCAATAGCTACTGCCCAGGCACTAGCTAGTATTAAGAAGCTGGCTTGCTGGGCAGTGAAACAGTCTAATGTCACCACAAGAGTTATTCAAGAGATGGCCAGCGATTTGGACAGTCTAAGGCATGCTGTGTTACAGAATCGAGCTGCCGTAGACTTTCTTTTACTTGCCCAGGGACATAGATGTCAGGATTTTGATGGAATGTGTTGTTTTAATCTATCCGACCATAGCCAATCATTTCAAAATCAATTACAATGGATGAAGCAGCACTTACAAAAAATACAGGTAGTTAAAAATCCCTGAGACCAATAGTTTCACTCTGTGTTTGGACTGTCCTTCTAGCTACAAAGTCTGTTACAAGAGGGATTGTGGTAGTTGAGAATAGTAATATTATTCATAGTAATCATTAGAATAGCTTATAGTTTTATAGTGAAATTAGTAAGGTTATGCTTGTGCAAGCTGCACAAAAAGAAAAAGGGGGAATTATTGGAGAATGGCTTGTAGAACAAGGTCATGGGTCTGTGCAGGAGCTGATTGCAGCCATCTGAGGTAAACAAAGGAAAAAACCCAGGGTACAGTTATGCTAACAAGGAAGGAGATTCAGGGCACAGTTATGCTAACAAAGGAAGAAAATGAGGTACAGAGCAGCCTTGATAGTAATGGTAAACAACTTTTGGGAAAAACAAACCAGAAGAAGGAGGATGTTGTGACATACTCGAAATACCACAAGGGGCTGGGATATTATAATGTAACCCTTTAGAGGTATCCAATAGATTTATGATTAGTATGCATAATTGTAGTGAGCGCTTATATAAGGTGTGCTTTCTTGCAATAAAGTGAAGCTTATTTATCATTCACATTGAATCAACTGCTTGCTTCCTCCATCCGCCAGCACACAGAAGCACCTATTTGTGGCTTAAAATGTACTAGTTTATCATGCAAATGATATGTCAACAGAATAGTTGTACTTGGCTTGTACATTAAGCAGTTAAACACACCATGTGTAATATTTAGGAGGTTATGTGTTACATAACATCGCTATTGCTCTGGACAGCTTTCCGGGCATCGAGGAAATCCAGGCACAGAATTCCCAGCTAGCAGCTTCCCTGTGCCTGGGAAGTGCAAACGTACACGTTTTCTGCAGAAATTGCGTTTTCTCGCCGTAAACCACACCAAAGCTCATTCTGAGCCAAAGCAAGCACAGAGCATGAGAATCACTGTTGCCATGGATATCATTTCGGGCAGCGAGGAAACCAGGCAGAGAATTCCCGGGTAGCACATTCCCTGTCCCTGGGAACTGCAAACATACACATTTTCAGCCAAAATCACATTTATCACCGAAAACAAACCCAAGGATCATGTGAGCAAAACCAAGCAGGGAGCATGAGAATCGCTGTTGATCTGGATACCTTTCCAGGCTGCGAGGAAATCCAGGCACAGAATTCCCAACTAGCAGGTTCTGTGTACCTGGGAAGTGCAAACGTACACGTTTTCAGCTGAAATTGTGTTTTCTCACCAAAAGGAACACCACGGCTCATTCTGAGCCAAAACAAGCATGGAGGATGAGAATCGCTGTTGCCCTGCATAGCTTTAGGGGCATCAGAGAAATCCAGGCAGAGAATTCCCGGCTAGCAGCTTCCCTGTTCCTAGTAAGTGCAACCGTACACGTTTTAAGCTGGAAATGCATTATCTCTCCAAAAAGCACACCAAGGCTCATTCTGAACCAAAACAAGCATGGAGCAAGAAAATCGCTGTTGCCCTGGATAGATTTCTGGGCAGCACATCAAGGCACAAGTAAAGGGAGTGCAGAAAAGATGCAAGAACCTAAAAGAGAGGATGTTAGGGAAATATAGGCCAGAAAAACGTGGTATCTAAAAAGGGGTGGGATGCTGAAAAGAGCTGGGAGGCTGGAGGGTAGTAGAGGCCAGAAGAAATTGGAGGCCAAATAAAGGTGGGAGGCTGAAAAGTGGTGGGAGGCCACGGGAAGGTAGAGGGTGGGAAAAAGTGGAGGCTGCAATAGGGAGGAAGGGAGGCAGGCTGCAAGAGGGAGTCAGGTAGGCAGGCTGCAAGAGGGAGGCAGGCTTGGGGTAAGTGAAGGGCAGGAAAAAGTGGAGGTCAAAAATGAGTGGAAGGTGCAAAATGACTGGTAGGCTGCAGGAAATTGGAGGCCTAGTTGCCAAAGGGTGACTATCCGACAGGAAAAAGGAGATGC